AACAGTGATACACGTGTTTCCCAGACTAGTTGGTAGTTTGGCTGTGTTCCTTATGGAACAGTGATACATGTGTTTCCCAGACTAGTTGGTAGTTTGGCTGTGATACTTATGGAACAGTGATACAGGTGTTTCCCAGACTAGTTGGTAGTTTGGCTGTGATACTTATGGAACAGTGATACAGGTGTTTCCCAGACTAGTTGGTAGTTTGGCTGTGTTACTTATGGAACAGTGATACACGTGTTTCCCAGACTAGTTGGTAGTTTGTCTGTGTTCCTTATGGAACAGTGAAACACATGTTTCCCTGACTAGTTGGTAGTTTGGCTGTATTCCTTATGGAACAATTCCTACAAATTATTTTCTGATTATGGCCCATTCTCACAAATCCAAATTGTTTTTTAAATCTGTAATTGGTTCTTACCAAAACTTTATACTATCTCATTTACACAAAATAATTTTGTTAACTCACTCTCGTGTTCAGATTATGCGATAATTTTAATTCTTTATTTCCTGTTACGTAGTTTACTTACAAATAATCTCACTGATTTGATGCAATATCTTTGCTATCCCTCTTTCATCCATAAGAAGTTTGCTTTGTTGAAGTATTATTTTTTCAGTAGTAACAACTTAAAAATATTTTATTACATGAAAATTGGTAGTGAGGAAATAAAATAGAAAAACATAACTGATTAGTAATTAGATTTGTAGTTAATGCTTTTTTTTTAAATATATTTTTTTGTTATCAACCACTAGGTTGCTACCCCTAAATCTTGTTCTAGACGACCCGTGTATCTTGGTGTATCAAAATCGACTCCAGCAAGTCCACAACGCTCAGCAAGAGCTATTACAGCAACACAAGCAAGGGAAGAAGCCAGGAAACGGTTATTGGAAGCTAAACGCAAAGGTCGACAGCAGCAAGCCTCTCAAGAACCAGCCACTGAAATAGCTATATTTGTTCCTGATGGTCAAAATTGATAAATTGGTGATATTTTGGAAAGCAAAGTACCTGTGTGCAGGATAGCTGAGATAATAGTCTTTAATTAAAGATACTCAAGTCTTGTAAGGTTACTTAAGAATTACACTTCATGTAGCTAGAACATATCAACTAAATGGGCTACCAGTAGAAACATATCAACTAAATGGGCTACCAGTAGAGTGGAACAAATCTTCATTATTCAGATTACAGCTTGTAAATAGAAATATGTAAAACCTTGAAACTTCTTTGTGATTTATAGATGTAACAAACTGTGTTACAGATGTGTACCTTGTTTTGATCTCCATTGCTGGTATTTATTTTTAAAAATTGAAGGAGTTACAGGATAGTTTCACTCACGGAGTTTACATGAAATATTTAACACGGACATGATGAATTTCATATCAAAACATTTATTGAATAATACATATAAACACACACAGATATATATATATATATCATAGCATTTTTGGTTATTTTGTAAAATCTTAATTGTGCTGTACAATTTTCAAGCTTTAACTTACTAGTTTTATCCTTACAAACACACACATTTATATATTTTAAAGTATTCATACAACTATAAAAGAATTGACTTGCACTGAATCATGGGCTGATCTGTAGGACTTTAAGTCACTAAATAACTGATACATATCTTTGGTATTAAATAAATAATTTGAGGTAAGTAAAAAATTATAAACATAATTGTCATTTTGAATGACTTAAATTGATTAAAATTACAATTCACTAACTTAATATAGTTTACACCAAAATAGTTGTTGCTCAAATGATTAATGATATAATAAGTCTCCTCTACCATGGGTAATATCCCAGCCTCCCTCATGAGTCCTGGTATTAGGCGAAAGGCCTCATTGACACTGGATATAACTGATATAATAAGTCTCCTCGACCAACTCTACCATGTGGGTAATATCCCAGCCTCCCTCATGAGTCCTGGTATTAGGCGAAAGGCCTCATTGACACTGGATAAAACTGATATAATAAGTCTCCTCGACCAACTCTACCATGTGGGTAATATCCCAGCCTCCCTCATGAGTCCTGGTATTAGGCGAAAGGCCTCATTGACACTGGATATAACTGATATAATAAGTTTAACATTATATTCTTTCACTCGTAAGAATTAAAGCTTTTGTATTAGAGAATGTTGGTACTGTACCTACATTCTCTGTTGCATCTGTCTGGGGAGGTTTGTTACTGATAACCCCTAGGGTAAATGTCCAAGTTGGAGTCCCTGGAGGGACTCCAACTTGGACATTTACCCTAGGGGTTATCAGCAAAAAACCTCCCCAGACAGATGCAACAGAGAATTTAGGTACAGGGACTCCAACTTGGACATTTACCCTAGGGGTTATCAGTAACAAACCTCCCCAGACAGATGCAGAGAATGTAGGTACAGGGAAAGAAATCTCAATAACATTTCAATGATTGAGACTTGAGTGGTCAGTAGCAGAATGTGGAACCTAGAAAGTTTAAGAAAGCACAGTTAAAAGGTCACCACTCCTATGATTTTCTTGAACTGCAAAATAACTACAGAATGACTAACTTTCATCCAAGTCACACAGAAATAGACAACATTTAATGAATTGAATAAAACCAAATTCCTAAGCTCAGTGGCCTGTATTATCCATTTTGTTTATCAATAGTAGGTTTTTTGGGAAACAAGTCGGGATCATATTGCAAATGTTATATTTTAACACTTTTAATATGAATGCAATAGTTTAAAAACTTTACTACGGAGGCCAAAGATAGTACATCTCAACTTAGTTTCTAATTCACCTGAGAATCATCACCGAGTTATACTGAAGAAAATGTGCTGAAATAAGTTGAAAGTAAATTCAGTTTTATAGTTCATGGACAAAATGAACGTAAATTCAGTTTTATAGTTCATGAACAAAATGAAAGTAAATTCAGTTTTATAGTTCATGAACAAAATGAAAGTAAATTCAGTTTTATAGTTCATGAACAAAATGAAAGTAAATTCAGTTTTATAGTTCATGAACAAAATGAACGTAAGGTCATGTTGCTGTATTTGAGCTGATGCAGAATTTTGGGTTTTTTAACAGTTGCTGAAATGTGTACAAGTTATAATAATATATATATATATGTGGTGAAGTTGTACGATAACAAGCCAGACCGATGAGCCATAATCAAAACCCTCTACAGTTCACTTTGCTGCTGCCAATGAGGCTTTTTGCCAATACCAGAACTTGTCAAGTTGGCTTGACCATAAGGTATCCGTTGAAACTTCTTGTATAACTAGTGTGTGAGATAATTTATTTTTGGTTTCATTCTAATATTTTTTTGATTGCATAGTTTCCTTTCACTCCCAGCTGCAGCTGTTGGATGTAAGCCATAAATAAGACACGTTATTCTGTCTTTATCTCCTTTACTCTATTGCCAGTTAGTGGTACTACTAACACAGAAATCCTCAAATGATGAGAAACAACAGTGATATATTACACCTCCAAATTAAACTAAAAGTAATTGTTTCTGTATGTTGATAAAACAAGCATGCTATAGGATACGATATAGCCCATAACATACATGAAGAGATCGATCATTAAGAAAGATACTGCTACGTAAAGAGTAATTATTGTTTTCTTAAACAACTGTTGCGATACAAGTGGTATAACAAACTTTGTTGTATATTAATCTAAAATAGATTTTATTTTAAGAAGTTTCCATTCTAAGTGTATTACTTTTTTGTATTTGAGCTTGTAATTAAATCAGTTTAAAGACAAAAATTCCATAAAAATACAAGTTTCTGATAAATAAATAAATATACATCTACATTCCTTATTTTACTATTCGCAAAGATAAAACAATCTGAAATAATTGTTGATAATGTTTACTCTTAAATATAATCAGTTTAATTTTTTCTAGCCTAATTTTCTCATATTACATGTGTAATTGGATTAAGTAGCTTTAAAAATCCCGCTAGAAAACAGGTATTTCTTATTAACAAAGGAAAGAACAAAATGTTATAATTAAAAACTGTAGTATTACTTGATTTGTTCTAAAGTCATTTTAAAATTTGAATTCTTTGTGAAATTTACGTCCATTGTGTTAACTAATTGTCAGCTTCTCAAGTGAATGAAATAAATTAAACAATTCCCAGATTCTCTCTCATTTTAGTGAACGTTTTTTCAAAAGAAACAAGTTTTCACTCTTGCGTTGTTTAATTTTAGTCTTACTTTACTAAGACACCCATTAAAACATAATAACTACAGAATAACCTGCAGGTTTTAAAAGGTTATACATAATAATCACTTTTGTATGTGTATAAATCTTTGTTTCTTTAGGTTTACTAAAACTTTACTTGTGCACTTTTAATTTTAATAACCTGAAAATAAATTCTGATACCCTTGTATAAAAATAGCCTTACCATTTAAGTTTTAATCAACTTGAACTGTCTAATAAACTCTTGGAACACCAGTGACCTTTAAAACATTTTGGGAGAATAATACCAACATGTATAGTTTCAGATTTTTTTGTCATGGGCGACACTATAATATCAGATTTATTATACAACAAGAATCGAAAACATACCACTGATCAAAAAATAAAAATCCAAAAGTTAAGTAATAGCTATACATAAAAAAATGTCTCGTCTGAGAAATGTTTACCAAACTGTATTTAAACTCTAAAAAATTGCGTAAAAACTACCAATAATACCTATTTTACTCCTGTAATTATGATATTTTTTGTAAATCAATATCATAGCCAGAAAAAAGAGACTATTAACCTACAATTGAAGAAAGAAACCTAAGTTACAACTCTTTAATTGTAATCGGGACTTAAACTCTGGGATGTCATTAAATATGGTAAAATTGAAATGCCTGCTCCAGGTTTTACTTTGGACCTAATTAAATTGATTTTAAAGAAAAAGTTTCTTGTAGCAGTACTTATTCTTTAGACTAATTTGTAAAAACTGTTACTGATTTTCAAACTAACTAGTTATTACACGATATTTTACATTGTTGGAAGAAAAATAATCACGGTTTCCTAATATTTTAATGTAAGAAATGGTTTTATAGCTTTGTTTCTGAAATTCAGTTATTATTTCCAGTTTGTTACACAACATTTTAGTTTCAAAACATAAATTCATAATTGTACAGTTAATTATGTTTTACATGTCAGTTTCCAAACAACTTGGTTAAGTTTTTAACACTTTCTGTAATTTGTTTTCAGAAATAAAATTAATTAGTACACAAAATTACAATTAAATAGTTCATAAACATTAGGTTAGGTTACTATTTTCATAATTCCCAAAATATAAAGTAAAAGATTTCTGAAAAACTTAAATTGATAATATTTTATTAATTAAGAATTTTCTATACTTCTTAGTAAATAAACAAAACCGAACGTTCATTAATCTAAAATGTGGTTAATGCTTCTGCAACACTTCCATAAATTTCTATTTTTATTTTAAGTCCGATATCCGTACCCATCCCTCTAATTTGGTGGAGACTCGCTTAACAAGCTACAGTAATTTTCTTGGTGAAATCGGAGATTCTTCTCCAGCCAATGAAATACTTTTAAGTCCGTTATCCGTTCCCATCCCCGTCATTTGGTGGAGACTCACGTAACAAGCTACAGTAATTTTCTTGGTGAAATCGGAGATTCTTCTCCAGCCAATGAAATACTTTTAAGTCCGTTATCCGTACCCATCCCTGTAATTTGTTGGAGACTCACTTAACAAGCTACAGTAATTTCCTTGGTGAAATCGGAGATTATTCTCCAGCCAATGAAATACTTTTAAGTCCGTTATCCGTACCCATCCCTGTAATTTGGTGGAGACTCACTTAACAAGCTACAGTAATTTCCTTGGTGAAATCGGAGATTCTTCTCCAGCCAATGAAATACTTTTAAGTCCGTTATCCGTACCCATCCCTGTAATTTGGTGGAGACTCACTTAACAAGCTACAGTAATTTCCTTGGTGAAATCGGAGATTCTTCTCCAGCCAATGAAATACTTTTAAGTCACTATTTGTTTTAAACTGGAAATACAGAAAATCCACAAACTCGGAGAATGTACTCGGGTTTTGTCATCTGCTATAATAAGATATTTGATGACAAAAAATATTACTTAACTTTTAATGGTCGTCAACTTAAAGATAAATAATAAATATTGAATTTCCTCAAAAAAATATTGGAGCAGTTCTTAAATACCACTGCAAGTCCGTACACATGAATAAAGACCGTATAATTTAATAACACAACCTTGTTTTGACCATGCTTCATTAATCACACTTAACACAACTAATCACTTCACATGAAAAATGTTTCAATTCATGATTAATTCAAGTTAAACCACAAGCAAAGTGTTATGGTATCACCACAGTTATAGTTGAAATGACTAGTTTCTGAATCTTTGTACTAAAACAAAATTTTCTACTCCGTCAGCCCTGTTCAAGTATCTAACTCAATTGGTATCAGATACAATGTTCCTCACTAACGTGACAAAGGTAGTTTTTGACTTTCTTGGTTAAAACACTCAAAAAAATGTTCTTCTACATAGAATAATAGACAGAAATAAAGTATAAAAACTAAAATTTGATGCAAGTCACTATAACTATACTCATTATTGGAGAACAGTGTTCAACTTTTGAACACCTTGATTGAATTATACACGAAATACAATACTAATAAATAAGTTAATCAATATAAGCAAGTACCACCAAAAGACTAGACACTGTATTAAATACAAAAACTACTACACACCTACATTGTTCTATATAAATAATGAGTTTTCACAATACAAAGTATTGAAAATGTTACATTTAATTATTTTCACAAGGGATACACTATCTGCCCTTGTATTTACTGATTTGGTCCGTGATAAAGACACAAGGTACGCAATCAGATGTTTAAAACTGTACGAGTCAAGACATATTCTCAAACAGTTGGGGTAATCACATTTGTACAAAAATACATAAAAAAAATCTATATATTCTACGACGTAGTAAGAAAAGGGACTGGAAATCTGGCCTAATGAAATATCGTAGAATGTTTTGGAAAAATAGGGAAAGTTGTAGAACTCACAGCTTAATACTGTAAACAAAAAGTTAAGAAAATTGTATCTCTATATTTAAATACCCTGGATCATAGAAACCTTAAGAGACGACAATACTTTACCAACACGATGCCGAAGACAAGAAACGGGAAGCATGAGGTACTGAGTGTGTTATCATCACTGCTGAGCAGTGTTTTTGGCTTTACTCACCAGTAACAATGGCCATAAAATAGATTCTATACCACTAGGTGGTGCTAGAATTTCACACAAAAGATTAGATTCACTGAGTTATATTTCTCGCGTGTGTTACACACTGACACAAAACAACACTAAGTAAATATTGTTTGCTTACCAAACTTGCATAAAACACCACACGAAAAACACAAATTCTAACAAAAGCAACTTCATCTACGTGCGACACTTTAACCTTTCAGGCACTTCCACATTCACAAACAAGAAAGTAGCTCCACCTGGTGGAAGCAGCTAAATCATCAGTAACAACGTATGAGCATAACTGTATTCAAGTTGAAGTCAGTTCAGCCCATCGTCTTTCAAAGTATAACCTCAAAATATGGCCAGCTTTTCCCACAGGAGATTGGTCTTCGTTGAAAGTTTCACAGTTATCAAAGATTGTTCTCACATCATCCACAAAGCTCTCTTTCGTTTTGTATCTAGAATAACGCAGAAAGTAACATAATTTTGAAAAACTTTATTTTGACATAATTTGGAGAAGATTTACAGATAAATACTGCACACCTTCTGAAAGGCATACTTTACAAACGTTGTTCTACAATTAATCTATCTTGAATACTGACATTTTTTAGAGTATCAAATTTATTCTTTTAAAATTTAAATCAAAATCATTTTATTGACGAATATACACCACTGCATTAACTAAAATGATAATACCTAAATAAATTAGTTGCAACTAAAATTACGGGTTTTTGCATTTCTTTTCTGTTTTCATGCATTTCCAAAATATTTGTGCAATAAGTGGTAAAAAAATTTACATTAATAGGAGTGCGATTATTGTCTCATGGCCAGTCTGAAAAAACTTGGACTTCAGCCAAATCCCAGGCACAACAAAAACCACTTATAAGGTCCCAAATTGATTATAACAGGCCTAAAGTAAGTTCAATCTACATACATGTGAGTACAAAGTTTGAACCTCATGTAAACAATTTCTTAATAGAATCCTCATTGACAGAAGTGTTATAGATACACAGTCAAGCTGGAAATATTAACCAAAATCAGCAAAAAAGAATACGTTTATAACTAACTTATGATGACATGTTGTGGTATTTTATAAACTTAAAGACCTGTGTATTGTAAAGCATGAGATACAGTTAAAATGCCTTTCATATGTTACTGAATAGACAGTGAAAAACATGTGCACACTTACAGCTGACATAATAATATAAAAAATATCTGTTTAGTCATTTTAAGAACTTCCAATGGTACTATGATTATAAATAAACATTACGATAGAGATGATTGAAAATTTCTCTAATTGAACAAAAATCAAACTTACATTCCCCCTTCTAACTTGCTCCGAATAGTGCTTAAATCCATTGGGTTTTTTATGATTCTTTTGTAAGTTGAGAAGTGTTTGGTGTTGACTGGAAAGAGGAAAGGCCAGGAATCCTCATGTTTATCTAGCTCATCCAAAACAGTCCTGAAAGTTTAGTTCAGGGTTTGAACAATTAAATGTAACTGAAGACAAGGGTATAAAACTTTAAAAACAATTTTACTACAAAAGAACAGGGCAAACAATACAATACAGTAAAAATATGTAAAATCAGAAGCATGAAGATAGCAAAAGAGCAGGATGAAGGACAAAATATGTAAAATCAGAAGTATGAAGATAGCAAAAGAACAGGATGAAGGACAAAATATGTAAAATCAGAAGTATGAAGATAGCAAAAGAACAGGATGAAGGACAAAATATGTAAAATCAGAAGCATGAAGATAGCAAAAGAACAGGATGAAGAACAAAATATGTAAAATCAGAAGCATGAATAATGTCAACTTATACATATATATATATATAATGTTCTAATAACATGAACGATGTCAACTTATATATATATATAATGTTCTAATAACATGAATAATGTCAACTTATATATATATATATATAATGTTCTAATAACATGAATAATGTCAACTTATACATATATATATATATAATGTTCTAATAACACGAACAATGTCAACTTATACATATATATATAATGTTCTATAATAACATGAATAATGTCAACTTATACATATATATATATATAATGTTCTAATAACATGAACAATGTCAACTTATATATATATATAATGTTCTAATAACATGAATAATGTCAACTTATATATATATATATATAATGTTCTAATAACGCGAACAACTCTAAGAATAAAATTAACACCTTGGAACAATTTACATAATATAACTTAGTACTTCAAAAGAATGAAACTCTTGTTGATTATATTATTGGCCTTAGTTTATTTACCTTCACAAAGAAAGTAATAAAAGTTTAATTAAACTACTTACATCACAAGAGCAAGCTCTTTGTTCGTAAGCAGAATAGATTTTTCTTTCTTTTCACTTTCACATTTTTCATTTGGTGTTGTTTCTTTATCCATCTCCCTTGATGCAGATTTCTGTTTGCTAGTTTTCTTTTGTCATGAATTAGATAAATATTACACATCAACAACAGGACCACAAACTCTTCCATAGAAAAGAGAAACTTTGTGAAACACAGAAACAAAAATTGAAGCTTGGTTTTCGTGTAAGACTTGTAAAGTACGTACATAAAAACAACATAATAATATTAAAGAAAATAATCACTGTCAAGACTTGAAATACAAAACAAGCCACAGTCCAACACCTTAACTTTCTTTCTGATGCTTGCCTGTAACACTATAAAATGAAAGGAGAAGGTTTCTTATAATACACAAAGTAGATTAGAATATCCAAGAAATACATCCAGTTAGGTTATTCTCTTCAATTGCACTTAAAAGATTGTGGAATAAAATGTAGACAAGCTGATTGTACTTTTTAAATAAGATTAGGAAACTTATTAGTCTGATTTAAATATCTATCATACCTGAGGTCTACAGCTTACACACGTCCACTTCCCTTTTGGTGGTCTAGTAACAAAAGAATATAAAAGCTAAAAGACCATTTTTAATTACATCATAATAAACATAATAATGACTGTTTCCAGATTGAGAATATTAAAACATTATAGCTTTACCTTGATAGTGGTGGGCCTACACAGTCCACATGGAAGACTTTTGGACACAGATCACAACCAATTAACTTCCCTTGCTTACCACACAGCACACAGACTTTATCACTTGTGGCCTGACAGATACAAAAAGATGGTTGGCTATTCAGATTAAATACTGTTTTATTTCTAGAAACAAGTTTAGGTTACATCTCACCTCATTCTCTCACACAAAGTTAATAAAAATGTACACAGTCCGTTTCATGCCTTCACGTATTAAGAAGTAAAAAAAACAACTTTCATCTTCCTAGTAGACTGTTTAGGTTGAAGATAAAAAACTGGCATCCATTTGATTATTACCAACAAACTCGTATTGGATCATTCAATAACTTAAAACAATTTCAACCTTACTCATATGTAATGTTTTATTCAAAACATGAAAACAGTGAACTATATAATTCTTAATAACTTTCAAATCATTTTCTAGAAAGCAACGTCAGAAATACGTTAGTAATATAAAACATCACTCATATTTTTCCCGTTTGACACATATGTAATTCGTTAATTTCTAAACTACTACCTAATTAGAAACAGATATTTTCAAGCAAAACATGCTTCAAAGTTGAGTATCAGCCAAATTAGAAAAAGCGTCTCATAAACTAAATTTGACTAAAACATGAGAGAAAAGTAGCCACATCAATAAGGTATTAAGTTAGTACTTGATGAGGGCTTATTTTAAACACCTTTTTTAAATATGAACCATATTTCTTCTGTAAAAAATAAGAATGTATAATTAACATAAATCTAAACTTCATGAACTAACAGTTTTTTATACCATATTTAAACTGCAATATCTTAAACGAATGACAAAATCTGCACTTACCTTGTTTAAACACTCATAGCAGTACCAATCTCCATCAGGTATTGTCTCCATTTTAGGCTGAACAACAAAATAGATTAGTTTTTTTCTAAGTGTGAAAATACCATTAAATTATTAGTAAACAATAAATAGCCACAAGACTTGCAACTGGAGGGACAGGTCCCATTTCAGATCCTCCTATAAATAGCCATAGGACTTGGAACTGGAGGGACAGGCCCTTCCAACTCCAATAAATGGATTCTATGACCCATTTCAGATCCTCCTATAAATAGCCATAGGATTGGAACTGGAGGGACAGGCCCTTCCAACTCCAATAAATGGATGCTATGACCCATTTCAGATCCTCCTATAAATTTGGAGAAGTTTATTTCCCCACCTTAAAATGTATTTTTGGTCATTCTAAACATGTAAACATTATGAAATGGATTAGTAATCTGGAGGAACAGTTATAAAAATAAAGAAGTAAAGTAAAAAAATAAAATATCATGTCAAGTGGTCAATAAAAGATCATGTCAGTTGGTCAATTAAAGATCATGTCAGTTGGTCAATAAAAGATCATGTCAGTTGATCAATTAAAGATCATGTCAGTTGGTCAATAAAAGATCATGTCAGTTGGTCAATTAAAGATCATGTCAGTTGGTCAATAAAAGATCATGTCAGTTGATCAATTAAAGATCATGTCAGTTGGTCAATAAAAGATTATGTCAGTTGGTCATTAAAGAATCATGTCAGTTGGTCATAAAAGAATCATGTCAGTTGGTCATTAAAGATCATGCCAGTTGGTCATAAAAGATCATGTCAGTTGGTCAATTAAAGATCATGTCAGTTGATCAATTAAAGATCATGTCAGTTGGTCAATTAAAGATCATGTCAGTTGGTCAATAAAAGATCATGTCAGTTGGTCAATTAAAGATCATGCCAGTTGGACAATAAAAGATCATGTCAGTTGGTCAATTAAAGATCATGTCAGTTGGTCAATTAAGATCATGTCAGTTGGTCAATAAAAGATCATGTCAGTTGGTCAATAAACTGCTTATTTGAAGGTTAACTTCACTTGTATTTTTATCCTGGTTTTCAACAAATCTCAGCTCACACTGCACCACAATAGGCCCAAGTTACCACTTTAATTGTAAAACGTTTCTGGAGGAGCATGGCCCCTGAACTTTTCCTAATTTATGCACTTCTAATAAGCTTAATTCACTCCCAATTTGGCCTCCCTCCCTCCCCCATACAGATTTTCTTTCTAATTACTGTCTTAGAATGCTAGAATCTCTAGATGTCTTACAAGACATCATTATCAATTATTCATCTTTTAATATTTTATTAACAGAGTAAATACTTAAAGGCAAGCACTGGGTCACTGACCATTTAAAGGCTTCATGTATGTAAGGTCATTATCTGACAGGTATCTTCAGAACTAACTTTCATAAAGTTAAATCCACTAAAAATATGTATCACAACCATCGAGAAATGACTGTAATGTTGGCTGACAATAACATAACTTACACATTTCGATACTCATTAAAAATAAGTGTCA